GAATTGGGGGAGAACGCCAAAAAGAGCGGGGTTATTGAAAAAAAAAGGGGGAAAAAAAAAAAAAAAAAAAAAAAAAAAAACACACACACACAGTGCCACATTTACAGAGCTGCAGCGGGGCGGTGTAGCAACTACACACTGTTGTTTTTCTCCCAGTCGAAGCCTGAAGCAGCAGCAACAATGACACCTCAGGAGTTTCCAAACTACCCTGACAGGATGAGCTCCTTATGATGAGTCTGTTATCCAACCGATCCCCTCGGTTCAAATTTAATGTCCAACTGGTCGCATTTAAGGATTTACATAAAAAGCTTAGTTTTGTGTGTGTTCATGTGTTGTTGTTCCTGTTGCCTGAATGCTACATAAGGCAAACAGCGCTCTCTTAAGGCCATGCAGTTGGAGCGAAGCAGAGCGGAGGAGACAGTCAAGTTAAAATGAGTTCCATAACTTCCATTCGGATGATAAGATTTTTTTTTGAAGGGCAACTTTGTTTACGAAGATTTTATAATGCATAATCCCAGATGCATTAGCGTTTATGTTTGTGGATTTGTGTGGTTTGTGTTTAATTTTGGATATTTCAAACGTCTTCCAGTTCCAGCGTGATGTGTTCTTTACAAAACTAAAGCTTACTGGTCTTCGAGAAAGCAAACTTGCATTATTATGCCATTAGCAATTTGTTACTTGAAAACGGTCTCAAAGACAACAATGTTGTCGTTTAATCGCATCAACTCGCTCTATTGTGACAGGCCTATCCAGAAAGCTATTAATCCCAGATGCATTAGCGTCAACAAAAATCAAAACGGATTTTATGAGCATTAAAAATAACGACTGAGTCCAGAAAGCTAATTGCACTCCCAAAACAAATCACTGAGAATGAGCCAACTCTCACCTCAGAGTCTGCTGAGCCTGTTGCTAGGGAACCCATGGTAACAGTTGTGGAGGGTTGAGCTGGTGACGGGTTAGCGCTCTCTGTCACAGCACAGCTCATTTCCATTTCTATGTGTTGCAGAGCACCACTTCACCCTCATACAGTAACAACAGCTAGAGAGCGGCCAGTAAGACAGAACGCATGCCCAGGAGAAGCAGAGCAGCTCTACAGACGATGGCACAACCACAGAGACTCCAGGTTAAAGTTGCAGCTTAGCAATGAATTCTACACTGTTAAATTCAAGTCTGACTGACCAAATTTCAGATCCAACAGCAACACTTACATTACCAATTCTTTTGAATTTTGTTGGCCAAATTTTTTTTTTTTTGCATTCTTGACTTGTGATCAGGGGCTGAGCAAAACCATTTCAAGGGCCACAAATGGCCCCCGCGCCAGACTTTGGACAGCCCTGCGCCAGTGATGTTGAGTTTTTGTAGATCGTTTTGATGGGAAAAGGAATCCTGCCTTTCTTCACTCTAAGATCATTTCTATCCAGATCTTGGCTCTGCTAGTTGATCTCATCTAACAATAACCCCACATTGATTTAAAAAGTCACTAATGACGACAGATGACGGGCAAAGCTTTTATATCCTGAAAGTGTCTTTTATGTCTTTTCAGTGACCACATAATACATTTCTTACATCGGATTAACTATAATTCTCTTGAACCGCGGTGACATTCCACTCACAGTCTTCCAATAACCGATCAGAGTAGCACAGCCCTCATGTCTGATGGCACGTGGATCATTCCAGCACTTTCTCCTGGGGAGCTGCGTGCGTCACCGGGCCGTTCTTCATACACGAGGCTCCAGAGGGCAGTAGCTCTGCTCATTGTGCCTGAGTGAGACACCCTTAAGGTGGAGCATTAACAGCCTCTCTGCTATGCGGAGCGGCACCACAATTCATTTCAAAGTACACCATGTGCTCCGCTCTCGCATATGCACACGTCTCTGTGCGCACCAAGAGGTAAAAACTATCCGACGGCGGTAACACGGCGTTCCGCTTCAACCTACTGCAGATTAGTCTGACCTGACGGAGCGAGGAGGGAACAGAACTGGAGATTCAGCACTCGCCTCCTGCGTCTCACTCAATACACAATATAACCTTCAGATGAAAAGGAGTTTTGTTTCTTTTTTCCCTACTAATTGTTAGAAAGCTGACTTTAGTTATTTCTTGATTTGCTTGCGTTAAACACATCTGAGCCACAAGGCAGCAAAATCAGTTCCTTCAGCAGATTTGAGTTATAAGCAAAGGTTTGCGACGGCACAGTAAGGCCACTGTGAATAGAAAACAAAAAGTAAAAAAGAAATTTCAGCCAAAAAACTCAGAGACTTTGACATTCATCTCAGACACTTGCTAGAAAAAAAAACCCGTCTGAAATTTCTGAATTTCAAAAGTTGAACTTTTTTTTTCTAGAAAAACTTCTGAGATTATTCCCAAAATTTCTGAGATCGTTTGGTTTAAATCGACTCCTCCTTTTTTTTTTTTCTATCCACAATGGCCTTACTACGCTGTAGTAAACATAAACCAGCAATGAACAGGCAGAAATGTAAAGTCGACTGCAGCAGACTCACCCGTTCATGGGGCCTCCGTGCTCCAGTGTGTACACCTGTCGGGGGTTCAGCAGGTACCTGAACTTTCTGAAGACACTGGAAGAAAACCACAACATGAAGGAAGGTGGATTAAGACTTCTGAACACAAATATCAGCTCAGACGTAAATGACTGGGTTAATATTCAGTTACAGGAAGCTGGTTGGATGCATTGTGCGAACTGTTGGACGTGCAACATTTCGCTGCCATCAGATGCTGCAGTGAATTTTATTGTAGATTTAATGATGAAGTGAAGGACTGACATTAATACATTCATAGCTTAGCAGAAGTGGGTAGTAACTAGTTACATTTACTCAGTTATGTTTACTTGGGTAACTTTCTGGAGGGGGGGGGTGATTACTTTTAGGAGTATTCGCAAGAGTAGTTTTTACTTATACTCAATTAATATTAATATCACTCTGTGTTTCTACACCAGCTTTGTTCCTCTAACGTTGTTTTCTGTCTGCTGAGCCGTTCGTTCCATTTGCAGATCAATAAAACACAGTAAACATGACATAATGTCACCGGAGGTACAATACTCTGTTCCTACACACACACACACAGACACACATCACATGTGGAAAAGTATTAGTTTCACAAGTTTTATTTAGAAAGAAAAAAAAAAATTTGAAAAGTTCTTCTGCCTGAATTTATTTTACTGTTATTTAATGTATGAATTATTTCATCAACAGTCCCTAAAATAACAGCATTTGTGCACTAAAGTGACATTTTCTCCATCTGATGACGTCTTCTGTTACTCGGTACTTAAGTAGCCAATTTACAAAATACTTTTTTCACCCCTCCACCACTATGCATAACAGTTGTTCAGTTTCCAGCAAAACCTGCTGGTGTGCGTTACGACTGAACACCTCAACTACGGTGTCTTTTCTTGTTTATCAAGAGATTACACAAAGTTATTAGCATCATGTACATCCCGCATAGTTACACAACTTCGCTGACTTTCTTTTTTTTTTACATGTAGAAAACCATACAAACGAGAACAGAGAGAATAAAAAGAAGAAAAAGAAGAAAAAAAGGGTGGATAGGGAAGAGGCTAAAAGTAATAGTATTTTATCTATCTTTTTAAGTTAGTGATATGGTGATTAATTAAATTATCCTACACATTCAGAAGGTAACTTTAGTCTCTTTTGACCAAACGGTATTGTTTCATAAGTCTGGTGCTTCGTTCGGAACGCTGCCAACCTCATTTGCGTTTCCCTGTTTCACTTCAGGTAAATGAAGCATTCCTCCTTCACCAGCCCAGCAGGCTGTACAATGTGCCACACGTTTATCACTCCTGCTGTATCACTGCACTGGACTGTAATTAATGTCAGTTCATTAATTAGATGCCATTCATTCGAGTGCTGGAAGGTGAACTTTGACCCCACTCTCAGGTGTTCTGCAGGCTCTGAAAGGTTTTCTTCCAGGAAAACTATTATGACTTAAACTGCCGTTATTTATTATGGTCTTCTCCCAGTGACAAATGATTCAGTGTGTTGCTCTGTAGGTTTTCTTTTTTTTCTTTCTTTCTGAGATTTCCTGTTAATATTTTTTTTTTCCTAAAGGGCAAGCACTTATTTAAATGTCATGAAAATTTCACAGATAATAATAGAACAGCTGTTGTTCTGGTAAATCTCTTTTACTCTTATTTGCCCATTGATAGAGAATAATTGGCTTTCTCGTTGTACAGTAAGAAAAAGTGTGTTGCCGGGCAACACGCCTGCTAGAAAGAAAAGCAGCAGGTTCTGATTGGTCGTGATTGCTGGGAGCTATGTGGCAAATGACGCGAGAATAAAAGCCTTTATTTCCAGCACTCCACCTTTAAATGACGGCATTCAGAGCCGCAGCAGGGCGGAGCGGCTGCGACGCGGTCTGGGAGGAAAACCTTTGATGTGACCTTGTAGCACACAGATTCATGACCTTTCTGGACCAAAATACACCGACATCAATCCATCTGAGGCACAAGCAATGGCAAACTTGGCAAGCGAAACAAAACGGCTAATCGTAGCTGGAAGGTCTAACATGAAACCTGTTAGATATATTTTTTTAAATGTTTTTAAAGTGAAACATCAGCTGGGCTTGATTTCACCTCTGAAAATACTTTCTAAAGGCACAAGTTGCTCTCCTCCTCATAGCCAAGTAGCATGTCTCTGTCGCTGCCGCACAGGTAAAACCGGCATGAGCATTTTAGCCCTCGTGTTGCGTTTAAAGACGGCTCGGAAAAACACGCTACGACACATTAATAGCGGATTGAATAGTTGTAACGGCTGAAAAAAGTGCGAGGAATAGAGCCGCTACTGTATCAAATCAAGATAGGAAGAATAGAAAGTTGGCCACTCTGACGTAAAAATAAAAAATTCTAATAAAGTTTCCAGTCAGGGGGGGAGGGGGGGCACGGCTCACTCTGTGGGTGGGCAGAGTGAGCCGCCCACAGAGTGAGCACCCCCCACCCCCATCAAATTTCAAACCAATTAGCCACACTTTCCTTCGAACGGTAACCATTAGCTAGCCTCTCTCTGTCAGGACGTGTGCTGCATATTTCACATGTTATCATGTTTTAACAATCCACTTGTGGAGCTTTTGTCATTTATTTATGGTACATATTTTTATTTCATTGTCATAATTTGGTGGAATTAAGTTAATGAAATTCATTATTTATTTTATTTTATTTATTACATTTATTATTTATTATTCTTTATTGTTATTATTTACGTTACAGGCTATTTTTTTGTGTGTCAAATTAGCCAAATTTTGTTGAATATAATTGTAATAGTAGTAGTAGAAATGGAAAAAACATCCAGCACTGCAAAAACACTAAATCTTACTGAGTATTTATGATTTAGCTTCTAGTGCAAATATCTTAGTACACTTCAAATAAAACAAAACAAGCTGACAATTAATTTTTCAGCAAGACACAGGACATTGTTTTAAGCCAATAATTCCTTAATAAAAATTACAAAAGTATTAGTTCCATCGGCAGATTATTTCACTTATAACATGGAAAACATGCCTTATTACAGGTTTAGTAATCTGCCAGTGCAACAAATGCTTTCTCATCTATATTAAGGACTTATTGGCTTGAAACAATCTCCTATATCTTCCTGAAAAGTTGCTTGTAAGTTAGTTTGGTCTTATTTCAAGTGTCATAAGATATTTGCACTAGAAACTAGACAAAGATGACTTGGTAAGATTTTGTGTTTTTGTGGTGAAAGCGTTATGCACTGTGCCAGTGATCACCTATAAACTGACACGTTAGATTTGGAAACATGGCCGCCGGCGATGAGGTCAAACTCACCGCTCCCCCTGCCTCCCTCCACTCTTAGGGTTGACCAGGACCAGGAGGGGGTGTGTTCCTGGGAGAGGGGTGATCTGCAAGCAGGAAACACACACTCTGCTGTTTAACCTGCTACCTGTCTTAAACCAAGCGCTGCACACCAGTGTTGAGATCAGTACCTGCAGTGTCTGTCTGTCTACAGGAGGGAACTTAAATGTCTTGCTGGCGTCGTCAGGGCTGGTGTTGGGAGTGGACTCACCCTCCCCGCGCTTCGCCGTGGAATGACGATCCTGTGGAGAACAGAAGAGCAAGTAATTTAGGAGAAAATAGTAAATGGGTCAGCAGGTGCCCGAGTCGTGATTTAAGGCATGAAATCTCCAATGATGAGATAAACAGCATGCATATAATCAATGTGTCGCTGTTGGAGGGGATGGAGGAGGTTTGACAGCAGAGTCCAGATATAGAGTCAACGGCCAGCGTGAAATGGCAGGCAGGTGGTCACAAGTTTCATCCTGACATGTTTGAGGAAAGTTGTGATAACTGCAGCTGTTTAATGCTGCTGAGACATTCACTTTGAACTCACACCATTGAACGGACTGGCACAGAACATGCTGCTGATTTTAATTTCTATGACTCCTTTCCCGTTGGTTTGTATGAATGTACTGAAAGGCCACACTGGTCTAAAGTACGAGAGTAGTTAGATACTCTGAACTGAAAAAAAAAAAAAAAAGGATTTTTGAACTAACTTTAACGAAATACTCTAATTTGCTACAACTAAGTGTATTTTGCTTATGCTTTGACTGATTTGACCTTTAATCTAATCAGAATTATACTGGGATTAAAGTCCTGTAGGAGATAGTGACGGGAGCTGGAAAGGAGCTTGGAGTGTCTCCTCACACTCTCCTGATTTCTCTACACTGAAAACAGGAGGTCCAAACTTAAAAAATTAAGTCAATTTGTAACAAGTAATCAAACCAAGTTCATCCAAGTAAATATGAGTTCATTAAGTTGTCATGTTAAACAAATGTAAATAAATTTAATCTGACTAACTTGATTACATGTAACAAATTGACCCACATGTTTTTAAAAGTTGGAGCTCAGATCTCTTTCTTCAGTGTATCATCTGAGTTTTGAACTCTTATTAGTATTTTCTATTTGTCAAATATTTGTTCTCTGTTTTTGGTAAACAACATGACCTGAAATGTGAATTAGTCACCACAGACCAAAATTGCAAATTTAGTTTTACAGCGCCCCCGCTGGAGAGAATATGAAACAGCCACATTATTCTAGGCTGTTCGTACGTTTTTTTTGTTTTTGTTTTTTTGTTTTGTTTTTTGTTTTATTATTATTTTATTTATTTATTTATTTTAGACTTCTGGACTTGAGTTCAGATATTTATTTATTTATTTACTTTTCATGAGGAAACCAGAATCTGCCCCTGATAAACACATGCTCATATTTTACCGTGTTTGGCTCTGCAGCAACAGCTAAAGTTTTTCTATCCCTCCTTTCATGATGTACGGCGGAACGGTTCTCACCAGCACCGCCGGACAGATGTATGATGGCAGCAGGATGTGGTCCTTCAGGGTCCCTCCGTCACACTCAGCCTTCATAGAAGACGCACACTTGTTATGGTACTGCAGTGGACAAGAGAAGGAGAACCATAAGGACTGTAGGCGTCTTCCATCTGACACTCTGCGTTAAGTCATTCAGCCATACAGTGACAGCATGGCTGCTCGGTTTATCGGCCATGGAGGGTCGACGGAAACGCTCTGCGCACCACGCTGAAGCAGGAGCAGGTGTCGGGATCGCTTGGTCGAAACTTTTACATCACATCACAGACAACAGTGTCACCTAGTGGAACCAGAACGCAATGACGCATATGAAACGTGAAGGTAGAGTTAGGTAGAGTTAACGTAGTAATAAGTGTGTGTGAGGGGAGGAGGTGTTTTTTTTTTTTTTACATACGTTTGTTTTAGACATAGCTAAATAAAGTCAATTTATTTGCTGAAAATGACGATGAGCTCAATGACTCTGGTATGACCCTGCTACCCTGTCTCTATGTCTGAAAATAGCTCATAAACTGAGCTCCTCAGAATTTACTGCCACTGTTACATCATCCAGCTGTACATCATGGTGGAGCCGCGGTCCTGCGCTGCGGCTCAGTGGACTCTCCTCTCGGCACTAAATTCTCTCCAGCAGTTTTTCAGTTTAATTAATGTACAAATCAGCTAAGAATACTCTGCCAGTACCAGTTAAGCAGACTCCTCGTTATCTTCATTTGAATTATTAGGCAATATCGGTACCAAAAACCACCATTAAAGAACATTAGTGAAGTTTTCCTCATGAAACCAACAAGTTTAAATTTGAATTTGAACCATGGCTAAGTGAATGGCAGGGGTAGCGCTGTTTGCAGTTTGCTACAAACCATACAGGGCACACAGAAGAAGAAAGACCAAAAATCTGCAAAATCTATGGAGACCCAGGTATCTCCTAAGTCTGACCATAAGGACTTCTCTCCGTTTTTATTATTATTATCATGTTAAATACAGAAACAAATTCTAGATTAAAATGTCATGGTTTGCGGGTTTTTTTTCCTCGTAGAATTTTTTTTTTAATTGAAGGGGTGTATAAGAAACATGTGATGTGCAAAATTTTATCAATTATATTTAGTATTTTTGACTAAAAATGTATTTCCTTCCTTATTGACAATAAACAATATTTATGTATGTATTTATTTATTTTTTCCCTGACATAAACTGAAAATGACCAATACCTGTTGTACTGCTTTCTTAAGAAATACTCTGTATACAGAGTATGTGTCATTGCATCCTGGTTCCACTATACAGAAATACTCTGTATACAGAGTTTTACTTAAGAAGTACTCTGTATTTCTTAGGGAAGAAATACAGATGGTGGTAGTTGGTGTAATGATATTTGCTATAAGAGCCATGAGATCAAGGCATATTCATATGTTATAATGACCTAGTCAAAGTTTAGACTGTCCTGTGTGTGCCTCTGGGTCTTCTCTTGTTGTCGTTATATCAGTCTGTAGACTGTTTGGTCTGCTCTGGATTCCCAGAACCAAACATGGAGAAACATCGTTCAGTTTTTATGCTCTGACACGAACTTCCAGAAAATTGCAAAACTGCTGAAACACGGGAGTTTTTCTAATTAAAGACTAAAAACCCCATTTGTTTAGAGCCATCTTTGATTGATGAATAACAACATGATAAAAAAAAAATCCCCTGTGTTTCAATCCTTACGTTTCCACTGCAATGTAATCATTTTTACTCATTTGTTATTTTATTTTCTTTGTAATCATGTGAGGCAGTTTGTTTGGGGTGGTAGCACGATAAAGTATGATATTGCTAAAGGTGGATAACTCATTTTCCGTACTCTAAATAAGCAGTTTTGCTTTTGGTATTACACACATACCTTTAATGTTAACGATACTCCAAAATTTCCACTAATTTCTCTGTTACATTGCATCTGTAGTTGCTTCTATCTGCCTCTGGGGGGCAGTGGTCATGGTCCTGTTTATCTATTTACGCCTGTGTTAGAGTAGAACGTGGCGGTTGAAGTGCGGCATGGTAGGCGACTCACCGTGGCCTGACACCAGACACAGTGCAGGCCCGTCAGGGTCTGGTAGCCCTTGATGTTCCTGAAACAGCGCTCGCACTTCGACGGAGAGTTCCCCTCTATCCAGACATGCTGCATGACCTGGAGGAGAGCAGAGGCAGTCACATGACGACTCGTTGAAAGCTATTTTAGAGCAAATTTTATGATTTCAGGACTCACTGCATTTTTGGAACCATGTGGAAGCTGTTTATGTATGGAAGCTGAGTTGATATTATACAGTTTCAATAAATCCAAACTTGGCAAAGTACTGCTATAATTACCCATCTGATGATGAAGACATTTTCTCTCTAGCTCTCGTTGAAGGCAGACGCTTTTTCCTCTGCTCCTCTCCCTTCCCATTCTCTCCCTGCTTGCTCTGTTTTTTGTTGCTTTTTTTTGGAGCCTTTCTTTGCACATCCTCTGAATCTACAAATTGTGGATCTGGCCAACCGGTCTGTTAATGCAATTGATCAAATTTTCTCAACGAGAAGACTGGGCACAGGAGAGCCCTCTTGTCCCGCGGGGGGGACATACACGGTGGGATTCACCCTGGATTTATTCATGATAACGGGATTTCTGCTGTTTGGAGCTTGTGGTTACCTGGCTTATCGACAAATTTGTTACGGATTTGGCCGAACTAGTGAACACTTAGGGACAGAGATGCAGGTTGAATGCGAGTCTTGCTGAGACTGCAGCTCAGCTGAGGACTCTAAAACTCACCAAAGGGATGGAATCGATCTTGGAGAAGTTGCTAGTTTCGGTTTAGTGGAACGGCCAAACTAATTTGGATGATTGGGATGAACTATAAGAGACATACCGGTTAAAGACTCTAGGACAGACAGAAATTTTAAGTCTGCCCGATCTAATAAGAATTTGTTATTCTGAATCTGGTTCCCCATTGCCTTGGCATCTACCTCAAATATCATGGAGTTTATGTAGACAAACTGCTCCTTCCCATCTCCTCACCCCTCCCAAAGTCACCCGTGGAATCTTATGGCTGAACTCTTAAGGACTCGCTCTTGATATTTCCACCTTTATCAGAGACTTGTTTGGGAGAACAGGCTGTGAGAGACATGGGCTAATCTGCAAACACGTCATAGTTACAGACAAACAAACACTCCCTGACCTCAACGTCTTTGCCAGCATGTTTTTGTCTTGCTATATGTGCCATATCCTACCCAATGTTTTCTGTTCATCCTACTTATCAGTTACTTTTTAGATTATTACTTGTTAGAAACTGTGGTGTACTCACTTTTGACCCATAAAAAGAATTAGAACAAACTTGGAATCCAGAGACTCTAGTTTATTAGTCACTCTGTAGCTTATTTTTTGGAAACTGTAGAGTACTCACTATTTAGACCAATATTATACTTCTTAGATTGATTTTTAGATTATTATGCAGACACTCCTGTTACTGCAATCCAGAAAAGGAATTAGAACAAACTTAGAATCCAGAAAAACTTCTTCCAGAACAGGAACATTTAGTTTTCATTATTACTTAGAAACTGTGGAGTACTCATTACTTTTACAAATTAAGAGCAGACTTAGAAAGTCCAGAGAATACTGGATTAAAAATTTAAAAATTAATGCACGTTTAACAATGGAAATGGAGACGTTTTAAAATATCCAAAATAAACAACATAAAATACTAATGAATTACGAACCCTTCAAAAAAAAGGGACAAGTTGAGACCAAAACACCAGACTGAAGACTTTTATCGTCCAGTTTTTGGTAGAAAGAAAAAAACGGTACATCATACCAATGAAAATGATTGAACTCGTTTTAATTTATCTTGCGATCAATTGATTTACTGTTTATTGTGATAGGCCTATACACCACTTGAAGGGGCAGTGTTCGGTGGCAATGCCCACTTACATTAGCCTGGCGAAAACATTCAATATTTGGAAGTGTGGCCAACACATATTGAATGGCTTTGTTCACTTCCTCTGCTGCTATCACCAAACTACAACCACGGCAGACTACTATTCCATCATCGCTCGCGGCTTCTCCTTCTGTTCGCTGATCGACCCGGTAGAAATTCTACTGCAGGAATCCAAGTCAATGGGAGAAATCCCAGATGGAGGACTGAAAGGAGATAAGAATCGAGTGGAATTGCATAGGAAGGCAGTGGCCAGGCCACACTGGCATACATTCATCTACTGGCTATGCTATCAACCACAACTGACAGCAACGCTGTTGAACTTAATGTCCCAGAAACAACATGATTCAGAAATGTCTGCGACCCAGGACCTTGAGAAAGAGGTCAGAGTTGAACCATCAGAACATTGTGTTTGCACTTACACTGGTGTGCTTGCGGGACTTGGCGTAGGTGCTGATGCAGGCGGCGATGTTTTTGGACACGCAGCGTTCGTGTACGGTGTACTTGCATGCTGCAGGACGACAAGAAGCCGCTGCATTAACCAGGGATCGCTCTTCACAAACACAGATCCAACATGGCTGGGAGGTAATTTCGTTTACAGCTGACCACATTAGCAATCAGTTCAGACAGTAAGTGAGTGCATGCATTCATAGGCCCTAGGGGCACTGCCTGGGAAACTCAATAATGAAAATACACATAATCACATTGCTGATCCTTCTCTAATGACGGTTGCAAGGACGCATAATTGAAAGCAACAGTGAGTCAAAAGCATTTAGGCACAAAGCATAAAATACTTTGAATTACGCTGGCTAGAGGAAGTGAAGGAGATAAAGATGGAGGAGGAGATAAAGAGAGGAAGAAGATAAGAGGCAGCGGGAGACGCAGACAGACAGTGACGGGGAGAGAGAGGAGGAGGCTCACTGGAGCAGCAGAGGCCCTGCTTGCGGACGCCCAGCAGCATGGCGTGGCAGTAGTTACAGAAGGCTGGTTTGTTGAAGTGCTTCAGACGCCAAACATGCTGCCCGTCCTCCTGCACGTTCTGCCATATCACAGCAGAACACAGAATCATTTCAGCTCCTTCTCCAGACATTCAACACCATCATGTAACATCTGGTCGAGATGAACAGAGACTCTAAAGCCAACAGGACGCAAGTCATCACTTCAACATTTTCTTCTCATTTAGCAGAGCGCAAATCTGGGAGAATCGACGCTGACAAAACGGTTGACTCGTTTTAGAGGTTTTACATCCCAGACGGCAAAAGGCTGACAATGGTTGATAAATCTGTAGTAAATGTTGTATTGTTTTATGTCTTTTTTATTGAACATACCGCGTCCATGCCCAGCAGGACAAGTAAAGGGATGGTGGTGAGGCCTCCTCTAATCCACTCCTCCAGTGTGACGGTGCCGTCCCGGTTAAGGTCGATCTCCTTCATCATCTCCTTTAGTATCTGAAACAAGCATGGATGGATGGATGTTATAATGCTAGGATAATGACCATTTTAACAACTATACAAAAAAAAAAAATATATATATATATATATATATATATATATATATATATATATATATATATATATATATATATATATATATATATATATATATATTGTTTATGAAAGTTACATACGGCGACTTTAAGGTAATTCTTTTTCAAAGTGATTCTAAAAGTGCAGAGCAGAGTGCAGGCTAGATAATATAGATCTAAATTCAGCAACAATAGTGATGAATATCTGAAACAACTTCCTGTCAACACTCTAGACATCGTTGGACGTGCAATAATGTTTCAGAAGCAGGAATGTAATACTTGCTGCTTTTTAGTTTTAAAATAAATTAGATTGTGTTATACGTGTCACTATTAAATGCTCGAATCAATATCATGATATTAGTGCAAGAAATCATGATATTTTACAATCATAAGGCTCATGTGGGCCTATACCTTCTTGTAACGCGTCAGCTGATGCTTCTGCTGGTATTCAGAAACAAACAGAGCCTGGTTCTGTCTCAGTGAAGTGTGTGTTTACTGACCGGCCGCAGCTCTGTTGAGTCCCACTCCAGATACTCGGCCACGTGGACCATCTGATTGATGATGTGATCCAGCTCCTGGACAAACAGAAACACGTGAAAACCTGCACCTTCACCTTCGTCTCCATGTTTCAGTGCGTACGCTGCCACCGCTGGGATCGTTTTATAGCAGTGTGCAACATTTTCCTTCGTTTATGTGATCGCTTCAGCAAGCGGCTCGCATTAAACCAGCCAGGTCCATTAAGAAAGATCTTATGTAAACATTCAGAGTTCACATGGTGTTCAGGTTTCTATTCCTGGAGCTGCAAGGTGCTCGGGGCAGACACACACACACGCACGCACACATGCACACACACCTACACACACGCACATCAGACACAGAGGGGAAGGACGGTGAAGATTATCCACTCACTGAGCTGTCCAGGAGCCCGTTGCCGTCTGTGTCGTACAGTCGGAACATGACTGGGGGAAAACGAGAACAGAGACCCCGTTAGAAGCCAGAGCTTTCTCCTTTGGACTCTGAAGATGTGGAGAGCGCCGCTTCTCCAGCAGGTCCCGGGGACCAGCGCGCAGAGATCAGCCCCATCACACGGCCTCAGACAAAAGTCGGTCGGGTTCAGGAGGGCTTCAGCACGTCAGCGACCGGCCCCATGAGGAAGGCGTTAGCCGAGGCTCCGGGGAGGAAGGAACTGAGCTTCAGACGTCTAATTATACTGAAAAATCAATTATTACTGCCTGTAAACATTTAAAAGATTATCTTTTTTTGTTGCTTGAATGTAAATCTAACATCTACCTGTCCGTCTGTCTGTCTGTCTGTCCGATTTCTGTTGGTTTGACTGCACTGTTTTCAAACAAATCCAACTTTATTTTTGTGGAGAGAAACTTTTCCAACAGAATCTTTTTTCTCCTACCTTAGTATTATATGACTGACAAAACTTCTAATCATAATCGCATTAACAAAAAGCCTAAATCCTGTTGAAAATACAAACAGATACAAACAAACACACTTGAAGACAAATCCGCTCTTGTTGTCTGCGCTCTCAACTCGCTAAAGCGCTCCACATCCCCAGAACCAGAACCAGAACCAGACACGGAGAAGCAGCATTCAGGTTCTATGTGCCACAGATCTGGAAGAAACTTACAGAAAACTGCAAAACAGCTGAAACACTGAGTTCCTTTAAACGCAGACTAACACCCAGCTTGTTTAGAGCTGCTTTTGAACCGTAATAAATAAAACATTGACCAACATATTTGATGTGTATTGTTGATTTTGATGATGTCACTCATCAAAATAACATTTGTTGCTGGTTTTCCCAATTGTTGACTGTATGGTGTTTTTATGACTTTGTATTTTTGTGTTTTAGGCTGTTAAAAACTTTGAACTGCCTTGTTGCTGAACAGTACTTTACAAATAAACATGATTGAACATGACTGATTGTACGATTAATATATCCTCTATTAAATAATCATCTGTCCACTTTATTTGGCTTTGACATAAATCCTAAAATATTACAATTCACATGATTTAGGTCTATAAGTTTTATATAAAAGATAATGTTCGCAAAACATTTTTTCCAAAAAGGAAAATCATTGGGCCCTCTCCAGAACTGGGACCCTGGGCTACTCTTTAAGATGTGAGCTTCATCTCTTTATCAGGAGCTCCTGCCCACTGAGCTGTGGTCAGTGATGAGCTGGAATTTTGTGGGCGTGTTTTAGATAGCAAGAGAACTGCCACTTACACTCCAGCTTGTCCTCCGGCGTCCCCCTTTCCAGCAGCGAAAGGTAGCAGACGATGTCCTTGAGAAAGACCACCTGAGGGGACGTCTGCGTGGAGCCTTCCTGAGACAGCGGGCTCTTCAGCTTCTCAGAGTTGCTCTTCTCTGCTGGCGCAAAACACAAACCTTCAAAGCCACGCGAGGCATCCGTCGCTGTCTGCGCTACTACGCGGGCCCTCTGCTTCAATTAATGAGGCGCGCAGAGCGAGAGTAGCAGTAAATCACACATTCAGGCATTAGTGTGACAGCTTTAGAGAGGTGGGAGCTCTGCATAGCGTAAAGACGAAACAGAGCTGTGGAGAGTGGGCTGACAAGACACTGTTCACAGGACCGGAAGGGGCAGAAAAGGCCACACAACAATACGACTGGCTGCTACTGAATGCAACAAGTCAAGTTAGTCAGCTGCCATTTTATGATGCTAAGAAGTGACATGTCGTTTATGAAATTGTCCTCGCAAAGAGTTTTGTCGTCATTTAAGCTTTATGTCAATGCAAAGCTGCGGATGCAGTGACGGACGGCATCCCACCATCTCACCCTCTCAGGACTTTTGGCAAAAGATGACATAGGCCATTATGTTAAGAAGGTGACAATATTAAACACTGTAAATTAAGAATAGAGTGTCTCTCAGGTTCCTGTGGGTTAAAGCAGTGTAGCTAACTGTTTTATGCTACATTTTCAGACTAAAGGAAACACCTTGTAGTCATGCTCACCTGACTGAAGTTTTGGGGTTCCAGCACTTTTGGAGGAACCAGCGCTGGGGGTCAGGGCGTTGCTGGTGGAGGCTGAAGGTTTGACCTGAGCGCCTGGTGATCGATAGGGCCCCCCTGGTGCGTTGGCCGCTGTACCTGAGCGCTGTGAGGAGGACGTAGAGGCTCCGGAGCCCGCTGCACTCCTTGTAGTGGAGTTCTCCGAAGTGTGTAGGCCCATCGCAGTCAAGATGCTCTTCCCGTTCATCCCTGATTGGGTCAGTCATAAGATTAAATATAAAAGAGGTCAGGTTTCAGGTTAGTTCTGAGGAGTAAAAACTAACATTGAACTTCACAACGGCAGCTAGGAAAATAAAATGAAAGAAGCAAGAGCTGGGAGGGGGAGGGACTTGATGAATAGCAGGCAAAATACTGGATCATGACCAGAGGGCCTACACAGCATCACTGATACACTGCCACCCACTGATCCACAGGCAGAACGTAGTGCCTTGCAAAAGTATTCATGGTCCGTTCTCCATTCCCTCACATCGCTGCGGCAAATTTCTTTGGCTATGATGATGCACCACTTTTCCTTCCTCTGCTTTTGCCTACTACTCTCAAATTCTGCATAATCTGCCATTAGACGTCTTAAGGTTGTTTTTCACATATCCTGTGATCCCTTCCTCAGGTGGGACCCATCAGTGGAGATATTGCTCCCAAAATATTCATGGTCTCTTTCTATAGATTTTACTGCTGTTTCAGACAACATGCATCACTGTTTCTGTCCAAGATAAAACTACTTTAGGAACATTTATGTCATTAACTCTTTACTTTTTCTTTAAAATAGAAAGTGCACCTGGGTTCCTGCATTAGTGTTTATTTGTGCGTGCGTGCGTGTGTGTGTGTGTGTGTGTGTGTGTGTGTGTATGTGTGTGTCTGCTCTCTTTTTAAAGCACAGTCTAACACTATGCAACCAGCTATCTGTCACAGGTGAATGGTGCAAACTAAGTGACTAATGCAATCTGCTGGGTTCCTTCAAATCTTCAAATCTGACGAACAAACTGTTGTTTCATAACTAGGATCAAAGTGGAATAAATGTGCTGAATGTTCACCGAATGGATTTTATGTATGTAAATTTGATTTTGGTTTTCTTTATAAAATGCTTTGAAACATATTTTGTCTAATAAATGGTATATAAACATATAGAATTGAATTAAATACACGTGATAGACCAATATAAAGAAGAGCATAATTGTGAAATGGAAGGGAAATGTTACATATTTTGTTAAACTTTCTATAAATAAAAATTTAAATCATGACGTACATATGCTTTAAGACCAATTTAATCTGAGTGTATCCGATGCATTTAGAAATCTTCAAAAGTCACCTGAAGGCCTCAGAGGCTGTTTGTTACAGAACATCGGAGAGCAAGCAGCATCTGTAGGAGAAGCAGCCAAGAGAACCTGTCGACATGACAACTACCAGTCCTGTACTTCACAATATCTGGGCTTTCTGGCAGAAAGAATGATTTAGGACGTCCTGGCTGTGATATTCGGTGTAGACTATTCTCTGTTCAAATGAAAAACAATACATTTATTTATTTATTTATTTATTTATTTATTTATTTATTTATTTATTTATTTATTTTGCAGATGATGGCATCAACTCTTTGACCTTCATGAAAACCAAAACCCTTACGACTACGCTGAACACACTCTGTGAATCTGTGGCAAAAAGATTTCTGTTCACAGACGCTCACCAGCCAATCTATCCAAGTTTCTGCTATTCTGAAAAGAAGACCAGTGTCCAAATGAGCACGGCTGATAGTCAAACCCCAAAACGAAGCTCTACATATGACCAACTCAGTGGGACTGAATCTGAAAACATGCGTCACGCTTTATGTGTAAAACATTTTGAAAACCAGTTAACACGTTTCTTCCATTTCACAATCGTGCACTGCTTTGTGTTGGTTTATCATGGAAAAATGTAACGAAACGGTGTGAGGCTGTAAACCCTACAACATGACAAACAGCTCACTGGCTAGAAATACATTTGCAAGGCACTGTACCAAGAGCTCACAAAAACACAAGAACACACAACCACCAAGGGAGCCAGCGGGACTCTTATCCTGTTAAGCCGGCGTCACCGTGGCGACACAAGCCAGTGGCCCGTTGTGGTACCTGTAATGGGGGCACAGGCCACTTCAGTCTGAATAGAGATGCCTGCATCAATGGAACGGGCGTCTGTGGTCAGTCATTGGTTCAAGGAAAGAAAAAAAACAGCAGCAGATGTGACGAACAGCCAGGAAAGAGTGCAGGGGTTTCTAAAAGGCTGGGCTGGGCTCACCAAAATAAAAGCCCCATTTTGTACTGCTTTTTTTTTTTTTTTTTTTAAGGGCTGCTAAGCTGCCTCAAAGATGGGTATTAAAAAGAACGTCATTATATGTTTGTTTTTTTTTTTATGATCCTTTTAGATTCATTTTACTTGTAGCAGACAATGAGACGCTCTTGCTCAGGAGTTCAACAAAACAAAGGCAAAATATAATCAGGAAAAACAGCAATATAGAAAAATGTTTTGATATTAGGCAAAATAAAATAAACAAAGCAATGTGAAAATATGTCCATCATTTTTTTTGTGTGTGATCTAGAACCAATTGTATATAAGAAGGAAAATATACTTCTAGAAGACGTCCAGCAGGTGTCAGCATTGACTCTGAGGTGTTTTTCTCTGAGAGCCTGAACTCATACTGAAGCAGCAGAAACCTGCTCAAGTCAGTTTCTAAATTCCTTTCATGAGCCTAACATCAGCGTGAACGGTCAGTCAGATCTGATGCCGTGTTCACGTCACTTCCTCTGAAGGGACGGGGATCCTTCTGCTCCTACAGCAGCTCTGAGCTGGACGGGCATTTAGAGCTGCTGTTGTTTCTAAAACTAACATGTTGTCACTTTCCTAAATCAATGGCCTAAAAATATATATATATTTTTGACAACAGTGAGTTCTTTTGTGCCTAAGACAGCTTTAGAAAAATAAATAAGCGGTGATTCCTCCTCTTCCCCCCAAAAATTATTTTTAGCCAAAAAAAACCCCCAAAAACTTATTTTAGTGATAACATATATACTTTGAGCTCCATATTTCTTTGTTTTGATCTGAAAAAATACTTTAATCAACAAAACATTTGCTCAGTCCTTTCCTAACATGGTGTATGTGGATATTTTTAGTTCCAAATCACAATGTGGCTCCAAAGGAAAGCTTCATGTAAAGGCAGAGATTAGAATGGTCTGCTGCTGCAGGATGTGCAGAACACTTACTAAAAAAAAAAAAAAAAAAAAAGAAAATAAATGGCTTCCCTGCAATTTGACCCTCCTGGGAAAACATGAAAGTATTCAAGCCAAATTTGGATCTTCAGATTTTGTGTGCTGGAAACTTCACACACGACCATAACTACCACCCTAACTACCACCCTAACACGGGCACGACGAGAGCCACGTTTCTCACTTTTCTAAACATTTTTCTGAACAGAACTAGTTTCTAATTCAGCAGTCCATCTGTGTCCTCAGTCGCTCTGCAGGGAGCAGCAGACTGGAGCCCGGGCCCACGCAGCACCCATGTGGAAACGCAGAGCCAGACGGTTCACACAGAGCGCTGAGATGTCTGTCCTCATATGTGCTTCTGCCCCGGTCACTGCGGAGCCCGTGACTAATCCGTTTTTGGTGATAAAAACCCACAGACACGGGTCACTCCTCATCCTTAGTGCCTTGCAAAAGTATCTGAGCTTTTACACATTTTGTCTTGTTGCAACCACAAACGTCACGTGTGTTTTAGTGGAAATGGCAGGAACATAACACATCAGCTGCATTTCTATTGGCCACACACTTGTGCAAATTGGAATTATGAAACTACATCCAGGTGATCAACAACCAGACGTTGAAAGATGATAGTACAAATGGGAACTATCAAGATGTGGCCACTCAGCTAAACTAATCAGAGAGCCCTATGTGGTAAATGCTGTGGTTGGGAGGAATTAATATCAGACATGAGGCAGAAAATCATGGACTCCACTGTGAAAGAGGTGGTGGAAGCATCATGCTGTGAGGACAAATATGTTAAAGGATGCAGAAAATATCCCTTTTCCCTCCACTTCCTTTCCATTTGTAAACATTTTTGAAAACCACGTTTCATGTTCCTTCCACTTCCCCAATATGCACTACTTTGTCAATCACATCCTAACAAAGTATATTGATCTTTGTTGTAATGTGACAAGACATGAAAAAGTCTAAGAGGATTAAATATAAGATAGCACATATAATTTTTTTTTGGGAAGCTACGAGGCGACGTAAGCCCAGTGAAAGTAAGACAGACTCATTTCCAAATGAGGTTGACATGTAGATTCAGCGTCTAAATCAACGACACTGCAGCCAGCGGTTATGACGACAAAAATAACATCTAAAGACAGGCTGTGTGGTCTCATGCCTGCGGAAGCAGCAGAAGAAGAGCTTTTGAGGATAAATTGAACTCATCAGGTTTGGAGGAATCTCCCTCTCGCTGGCAGCCCCGACTCTGAGTCAACATGCTGAGCTGGACATTTATTAGGACTTCAGTTGGCTCTGTTCCCAAACAGGAGGGAATAATTCTGCTTTCTCAGCACCAATAACTCCAGAGATGATGTTACTGGAAACAAAGTCTCGATGCTTTACCTCAGACATACAGCTAGTTACCAATATGGAGAGAGAGGGTGAAACCTTAAGCCAAGCACTGCAAACCCTTTCTGTTCAATAAATCATTTGGGAGCAGAAATGATACACATTATTTAGACAATTTTGTTTTTGTCACACTTGGATGCTTCAGAACATCAGACACGTTTTAAAAGGCAAACACAATGTGCTCAATTGCAAAATGCAGTTCATTTTTAAGTGTTATCCAAAGGACGTCAGCCAGGTGTAAAAAAAAATATGACTGTGTCCCTTGTATTAATTAACCTCCTGTGATTAATCACGTCTCTCTGGCTCAATTCCTCTACATTCACTTCCCCTGATTACTCCCAGAACTGTAGAATCAAACACCAAATGTTGTTTTTCAGATGAAAAACCAAATCACTGACATCTATCAGTCTGAAAAAGATTACAATGTCATTCAGTGCATATCCCAACAGATATCAAGTGGAGCTTTCAACAGTTTCTCCTTGGCACTCAGACAACAACTCTAATTGTTACACTGCTGGACAGGACAGGGTTCAAAGAAAAAGTCCCGACAGAGCTGCTCACGGTATGCCTAGAAGTGTACACAAAACGCAGCATGGAGACAGTACCAAGCTGGTTTCCAGTAGTCGGACTGGAAACCAGTCCGTAAACGTCAGCATACCCTTTAAGCTGGTTCCCGGCTGAGGGTGGTCCGGAGAGCAGCGCCCCGTCTTGCTCTTGAAGGAGGTGAACAGATGCTGACACAGCTCCTCTGGAATGGTGTTCTCCAGGTAGGTGGCCATGAAGAGCTGGAAGCCCTCATAGTCAATGGGCTGCAGGGGAACAGAGGAGGAGGAGACGTTAGCTGAATTAACCTGATGGACGAAGCTCACACCAGCAACAGGAGGCAGTGATGAGGGAGAGCATCACTGCTCTCCCTCATCACTTGACAGCTTGAAATTTCACTTCAAGCTGTCATCCCGTGATTGGTTCAGACACCTCGATGAGGTAAAAGTATGATTTAAGATTATTACTGTGGGAAAAAAAATAAAACAATAAATAAATAAATAACACAGACAGTAAAATGTAATTTGAGTTGAGGTGGAGAACAACCTCCTGTCCAGGGGGCAGATGGGCAATAGCACCAAACCCAACGAACGGCCCCATCTACAGAGGCCTAGCGCCCTGCGACAGGCCCTGGTGGGTAAGACAGGGCTATGTCATGTCAGTGGACAGGATGTGCATGCAGTCTGCCCACACAGACAAAACACGACATGCAGAGAGCACAGAGCTTACTTGGTTCAGAACATCTTGCATCTGTTTAGCAGTGGAGAGCAGCAGGAGGGAGGGAGGGGAGGGGAGGAGTGAGTAGAACAAGAGAAGGGAGTTAGCTACTTGGTGTGTGTGCGGACAGTTTTAGTGACGATGCATGTGGTGCTGAGCATGCAGGAAAGGCCAATCACACACTGCACTCAGAAAACAGAGCAGCTTCATGCCACTTCCTCTGCATTTAGAACGGCTATGGCTGATTCTGGGTGAAACATTCACTGCAAATGACAGTCGGCTTCTTATGGTTGGAAAAACGTTGTGGTAAAACTTATGTTAGCGTAAGAGGTCTGGGATAACATTGGAACATATTTAGTATGAAAGTGGAAGGTTTTTAGATTTCTAAATTGAGCTTTTAGATGTAGCATATCTATCTAAATGTAGATATGTTTAATCAAGATTGATAGATATGATAAGAGGACATTTGCATCTTGACTTGGACAGCTCAGGTAGACTGATGCATTCTTAACCAGCTTATCCTGGCAACCACACTACTGTCTATGAGTGTCCATTTGGTGATGGTGTGTGTGGCGGAGATGGTGTGTATGGTCATGGTGATGCTCTAAACTCAAGGCTACAAAAAAAAAAAAAAATGTTAGAGCCACAACATTTCCAGTTGTGAAGCTTGTACTTTTAAAATCTAAGACAAAAAGATGTTTTTTTTTTATCTTAGCTCAAAAGCTAAATATCAAGAATTTGAGAGAGTCTTGGTAAATATCGCAATATATTAATATATGTGCTGCTACAATAAAAGGAAGCAGGCCATATATTAATCCAAAGTGTTGAGAAACATTTAGGAAAAGTTGGAAATGCCCCTTAAATATGGTTCAACAATCAGCCACGGGGGTGTACTTAGTTTCTCCCACACACAGTTCCCCTGTTGTTCATCAAGATTGTGCATAGTGGAATCTGTTGAAAGTTTTCTATACTTCAGGCTAAATTAAAAATGATTTCAGAACCTGGTGATGAACAGATCATTTGCATGATTTCAGTGAAGTAACCCTCACTTTTACTTCTTGCTTTCATTTTACACGCGCGCCTACATAAATCTCTATTACATAACAAGTTCAGGACGAGCTGTAAGTGACACCCGTCACAGAAGGACACACAGTGGTGATGATGCTCCTCCCGCTGACCTGACCCCATGAGCTGCAGCGCTCTGCCAGCCGTTATTCATATCTCTGCTTTCTCCTTATTTGGTCAAGCAAACCAGGAGGCAGTAATGTGCTGTCCATCATGAAGAAGCACTGTGGGTTCAGAGAAATAACTCCAGCATGCCACCGCAAACACACACACACACACGCATTCACAACTACCTTAGATGTCTTAGAATCTAAGTGTACCCAGATGCAATTGTGAAAACGTAGTCCCTCTGGAAAATGTGTTTATGTCTGGGTCTAACCTTTTCCGTGTGAGTGGATTTTTACACATGGCTGCCAGTCTGTAAATATTTCCCAGGGGGTCGCTACGACGCATTTACATGCTTCATTTAATCTGTTTCAGTTTGGCACAGATGCACAGACCTTTTCGGTGTGAAAAAGTCAACGGGAGCAGTTAGAAGGCCGCCGCCATGTTTCTGCATTTTTATCGCAACAAGCTGTGTTGGATGATTATTTCAGTTCTTATGTGATGAACGTTAATGCAGATCAACCGCGTCCTAAATGGAAAAAGTAATCACGCCCGAAGCTTACCGTGGTAAGTCTGATTGGTGCATTTGCACCAACTAGTAACGAGTCTTTTACTTCACTAACTGCGTTTCCTGAACCATAGAATTGAGCCAAATGAAATTCTGAAAATAAATTTGCTTGATGGAAACACACCAATAAAAAATAAAACTCACATCTTTCGATAAAAATTTTTTTATTGAAATGCCAAAAAACATCACGTACATAGCCGCTCCCAAGTAGGCGGGGCTTGTTGCTGTAACGCCTGAATAAGACGCCGATGTCTCCTCTGATTGGCTGACAGAGGACAAGCGCTAGCACCACGGCTAAATTATGAATATATACCATGTAACTGTTTACATCTGTTACTGCTGTAATTTTGAATGACTTATTATGTGAACAAGCTTAATCACGTGTGATTTTAATTTCATGTCTTATTTAATGGACATTTCTGATGTGTCAGAAAAGAAAACAAAGCAAACAGCAAAAGAGAAGAAAGTAACAGGTTCAGATTAAGACACAAGCAGGAGTTAAATTTCTGTCTCCTTCTCCAGGATGCCCAGTTTCTTCCTTGTATGCGGCTTTACACAGAAAATATTGATTTTAATATTCCGGCAGAAAGGTGCAGGTTACATTGAAGGTATCAAGAGAGTCCAGCTCTCTGTCATGTCTACCTCCCCATGAAAGTTTCCTTCTAATTCAATCATCATCCTCTGCCTTTGTACATGGGGCAGATTTTGAACCAAATATTCCTCGTTTATCAACCAGCTTGACTCATTTCTTCATCATCCTGCAAATGTATGTTGTGCTGTATAATGTCTTTCCCCCCACCTTCACTAACTTATTACTCCAGAGGGGAGACTTTGGTAAGACTTGATGCCAACCCCCAACTTTCTCTGGTAAATAGTAATTGTGGGTTTTGTGGATTTCCCCCCCTGTTTGGGATATAAAAGTCTTTCTTGGGAGTGCTTGCTCATTTTCAACTCAGTTTGGAGTTTCCCCTGTCTTAGAATTTAATTTAGATCATTGGTTTTAGCAAAGAAGCAGTGTGATGCTATTCAACATTTGGAAAAGCCGGCCCTGTTGCGGCGTACAACTTTGTCCTGTTTTTATTTGTCCACAGGAAGTGATCCAGTGCTTCGATGAGTTTCTTTGACATTGAAGTGGGCGATATCTAAAATAGTTCACTTGTTGGATCAAAATCATTTTTAAAACATGAATCTTTTCAACTAATGACACGTCCAGTTTTCTCCAGGATACTATAAAATCTTCCATCTTTGTTTTGAGTCTCCCATGGAGGCCACTTACTGTGGTGCCAGGTAGTGGTTGGGTCTCAGAAAGTTAACCTCTATGGTGCCAGATCTCAAGTCAGACTATTGGTTTTAACTGAAATATTGAGAAGGCTTTGACAGGAAATAGACATGAATCACATACAGATTGAAACAAATTCTGATGAGTTTTTTTATTCAGATACAGCAGATCTAAGAGTGTATTCCAGTTATCAACAACTCCAGTCCTTGAAGGCTGTTTTCCTGAAACCTTTGGATGCATTCCTGCTCCAAAACACTCCAATCAAAAACTTTCAGGAAGCCTGCCCTCGAGCCCAGGAGCTGCAGACTCATCCAGGTATCTGTCAAGTCAAGCAGCTTTTATCTGTGAGACTAATCCATTGGAGTGGGCCAGAGGTCAACGGATCAAAGGAACAATAATTTGATGATTGCTTTGGCTTGAGTCACCAGTAGGTCACCATATTTGCAGGCACATGCACATACTGCACAGGATAAAACTTCTGTTTTATAAAATGACAATCTACAAAAAAAAAAGTCTGACTCTAATGAGACAATATTTTTTCCTCAGTATGATTTCCAGTTAGAGTCCAGCTGATCAGTGCTGATCTGCTGACATCAACAGTTGCTTCTGAGGGTTTGTCTTCAACTGAATATGGGATGGATGACTGAGCATTTTAATGAACTGCGTTTTCTGCAGTAAAATGGCAAGTTTTGTGTCAGAGGGGAAAAAAATGAAGCAACAACTTGTGGAGACCCACCTGTGCTGGATTGTATTTGGAAAGAACTCCTCCTTCGCGGAACTCCTCCAGAACATCCTTCAGGTTCTTTGTGGAGTCTGAGGATGAGAGCAGAGAGAAGCTAATTATTATTTTTCTCTTCATGGCAGAGGAGTGCTTATCATCTCAATCAGAGTGGTCTCTGAATAAAACGGAGTAAAGATGCATCCTCTTTAATGAGTCCCCTGATAAACAGGAACATCAGATGAGGCAAACTGCTGAGTCACCCCCCGGTTAGCCAGAGGGGACATTGTGTCCCTCTCACTTTTATATGCTAATCCTACAGTCACACACACACACACAGCGTCTGTCCAGAACATTAACCATAATGATCTCCTCCTATGATCATGTGTCAAACAATTACAGAGCACAAACAGACCATTATCCACCATTAGAACCAACTAGCTAACCAGAACTAGCTAAGCATCTTTGCTAGTTGGCTGTCGTTTTACACGCTGGAAGCAAAGTCTGCCTTTTCTGCCACCACCAGGGCGACAGAAATGTAGAACATGGAACATCAGAGGAGCCATGCTCTCTTCTCCTCATTCATGTGGGTAGCTGCAGCTGTTCAGCATTTTCAAAAACCTGAGATATAAAGACATGTTGCCAGACCTGGGTATTTGGACTCTGCTGTCTTTGTGGTTTAATTTGTTCCTTCCTTCATTCATACAACATTTTGTAGTTTTTATACATGCAATGGTAAAATAATAATATAAAAAAAAATCTGAGAAGTTAAACATGCCAATTTACTCAATTCCACTCATTCTGGCTGCAGTAAGGTCATTAAAAATATATATATTATTATTTTTGTTACATGTTTATTTATTTATTTATTTTACTTATTTATTAAAAGTGTTGATATATCATTACAATTTGGTATGAGACAGGCACCGTTGTGCTACCGCTGCGATCTGCAGTCAAAAACAGCCGATCAGAGCCAGGAGGGTCTTAGTGTTGTCAATAATGGTACACGGAGAAACCATTTATCGTTCCAGGAAGCTATTAATCCGCCATCATCAGTGGCCCTGCTAACTAGCCTTAGCAAGGGAGAGTGAGTGAGTTGTGCATACACAAGCTGATTGACAGCACGAAGACTCTCCTCCTGGCTATGATTGGTTGTTTCTGATTTATCGGTGTACTTAGCACCGGGAGCAGGCAGAAGAGCTCAATTTTTCCCCAGATTATCTGTCTCGCACTACACTGTTACCACAAAGAGACAGTGTTAACAAATATGTAAAAACACAAGTTACATCCTGCAGCTTATAAAATAAAATACAGCAAAACTGATTCCCATCAGAAACTACCTAGACAATAAACAATGGCCAGAAGAAAGCCATTGTTAACAAAAAGCCATAAGACATCAGAGGTGGTAGAAGCTGTTCTGTTCAGATATCACCAGATTTTTTTAGTGACTGCACTTTTTAGTGTTACACTTTTCAGATTTTTAATTACAATTATAGATTTTTTGTCTCATTTTGTTTCAAATGCAATGTTATGCTGTACTTTTTGTTGGTCTGTCACATTAAAAACCCTAATAAAAGAGAAATACATTGCGCACAACAATGTATTTCTTGAAAAGGAAGCTTGCATGACTCTGTCTATCATCCAATAGCAGCACATGGACAGATGCTGCTTTGACTAACAAATGCTGCAGACAGCATAGACAGAGAAAGCCACAGACTCATCCAGCAGGCTGATAAGCGGTGTCCTGAGGCACGCTCCAATTCAAAATACCTGGATGTAATCAAAACCTGAAAGGGCTTAATTCATATGTCAACACAGGTGCAGCAATCACATCCAATCAGAAAATCTAGGATTAGTGAAGGAAAGAAAGAAGTTGTTTTTTTGTTTTTTTTATCAACAGCACGGTGACTTTCAGGGCTGAGCATCAATTCAAACAGGTTTTAAATACACAAACAAAAGCAGACGTTTAATGACACGTGATACAACAAAAAAGTAGTGCTGAATGGTAGTAGTAGTAGTAGTAATAATAATAATAATAATAATAATAATAATAATAAACTGCTGGGTTTCTCACTCTACCAGATCACCTGTTATAACTGTGAACTGTAAAAACAAAGTATCCAATCATAAATCTGTTCTGCGTCATAATCTCTTCACGTTTCACTTACATGTGGGGAAACATGGACACTAGAACAGGTGATGAGATTACATACATTAAATCAGTGGTTTCCAAACATTTTCTGCAGCTTTTATGAATCAAAGAGTAGACTGAGACTTACACTCGGTGTACTGCTGCAGCTGGCTGAACTCTGCCGGGCTCAGACACTCCCAGTTCATTTCTCCCATGCTTCCTCACAGCAGCTCTTTATGGGTCTGAGGGTGGAGGGGTGATGGTTATCCTTGTATCGAGTTGGGTAAAAAGACAAATGAGAAGTTCTCTGATATCATCCCTGCCGTTTTACAGTTCACAGGAGGTCAAAAAGACAGATGGGGGTTGAAGCTGAAGGTCCGCTCCTTTTAGGTTGGATCGATTACCAAAATGTAAAAAAATAAATAAAAAATAAAAAATATGTTGGCTTCAGGTTCCTTGTATCACTGCAGCTGGGACAATAAAGTCCAGTTAGGCGCAGGTCCACAGATTCATCGGTGTGTAATTACTCCTCATCGCTCAGAGGATAAACGGTTCCCAGCCGGGCCGACCTGGAGCAGGGGCCACAAAAGAATGAAGAAAACACTCCTTAGTAAAGATTGCTCATATTTTAGAAAAGGAAACAGGAAAGAGACAAAAGCAGAATAGAAGGCTGTAAAAAGCTGATCCCAGATCAGATAGATGTGGACGATGAAGAGAGGAAAACAAACTGAGGACAGGATCTAAAAAAAGGAGAACAGATAAAAGACCAAACAATGAAGCATTGTGTCTAACATATCATTTCCACATATTTCATATTTACAGATGGACTCTTATGACAGCGTAAACAAGCGCACACTGTTGTATGCAATTGACATATTGTAGACAGAGATGTAAAAGTCTACCTCCTCATCATACTGTAACCACAGACAGTCTCAATATTTGCACTCGCCTTAGTTGGTGGTTTTGTATTTGCATAACTAGTGAGATTTTCATCTTTGTGGTATCTTTGAATCTCTTTATTACAGCTCTGTCCTATTTTAGTCGCTTCTTATCTAATTTTCATTGTAATGCATCTTCCTGCGGTTGTTTTGTTGTTTTGCATCCCACTTTGCATCTCTTTGATGCCCTCAGGCTGCCTGTCATTTGTTCATTGAGAGCTCTTTGGTGTCTCGTTACAGGTGCTTCACACATCCTAGATATGAATTATAATAATTGGGGATGTGACTCCTGGAGCACTGGACGTGTAGTAATGTGTCGAAAGAAAATAAAAGTGCTTTTTTTGCACGGGTGCGTCACTTGCTCTCACTTTCTTGTCTTTGTCATGTTTGTTAGCATGTTGAAAAAAATGTGTTTTAGGTTCCCTGTGTCCCTGATATGTTTATTTTTAATTTTAAGTTTCCTTTTGCTCATTTTTCATTAAGTAATCAGAAAACAGCTGCTCCAATTTTTCAGCAGTGCGGCTTTCAAAAATATGGAGCAGGAAGAATGACAACTACAGCAAAAACAGAGTCAAAATACAGGAGTAAACAGAGGAAAAAGATTAATTTAAATGTGAGAGACCAAACTATTAGAGGCAGATAACCAGGGCTGCTTCTAAGAAAATGTAAAAGTAGGAGAAAAACCCAAGTGTTACTGCGCAATCTTACTGACTGCACACACATCACCCTCACAGGAGTCATTTACTGGGAAGTTAATAGAAGAGATTTGTCACGACTGTTATTAATTCTTCCTCTGTTTCTGCTGCTGTGATAAGTCAAAAATATCTGCAAATTAATAGAAGGAGCTGACGTCCAAAGTCATCAGCCCCCTGTGAGAGCAGCAGGTTCCCAGAGAGAAGATGGCCGACGGGATGGAGCTCGGCGCCCTGACCCATCTGGGCCCGGTGTTTTCTCTCTTAATTGGAAGTAGGAGGAGTTTCGACCGATGCCAAAGTATGAGCAGTTCCAAGTGGGAGGAGATAAAAGCATGGGTGACTAAGTCGCATCCACCAGGGGAATAACAGCACGTTATTTTTAGAAACACGTCTCAGCTGAGGCAAATATGGTCGGAAAAATTTTATTTCTAACTGATCCGAGCGCAGATTGTCACCAAAAAGAAAAAAAAACAAAGAAATAAGAAGTGCATTTGGAATTGCAGAGAGGAAAAGGATTGTGTGAATTTAATGAAGGGAATAAATACAGTGCAAGAATTTGTAATGTAAACGGAGGCTCAGTCTTTATGTGTCCAATTCCTTCTGATGAGAACATGTAACACATTTCATTTAAAGAAATTAAACATACCTGAACAGTTCTAGATGATTTTACACACAGTATATTGTTAAAGGCTCTTCAGTTATTTCTCCGTTTTCATGTTTTGTTTTTTTTTCCAGTTACATTTAAAACTATTTTTATGTGGTAAAGGGCAGTGTTATGTATTTTTCAGGGACATACTGTCATTCTATTGCACAATCTAGTAACTATTTTACCTTCAGTTGTTTTAAAAATATTGTAAATATCACACACAACTTAAAAGAAATTTGACGCCTAGAAATTGGGCCTCCGCCTCTTTAAAAGCTCCTGCTCTGTCTGAAGCTCCACCTTCAGGAAGTCAACACAACATGGCTCCTCTGTTAACCCTTTAACAACGTTTTTAACAGCGTTGCACTGAGAAGTAGCTCCCAGGATTAGCTCACCAGATGTTCCACCAGGTGTTTGCTAATTGCTGCTGGCTAGTCTGAAGGAGCTGCGTGGAGGAGTTGCGGGGGCAGAAGCTCAGAAGCTGGGAAAACTGCAGCTCTGAGGAGGAGCTAGATCCACTCAGGTGTTCAGCACAACTGAGTGGTTGCCACGGGAGATTGGAAGATTTCTCAAACATGCATGAACGAATCAAGGCAACACTCCAGGTATGTTTTTCACGAGGGAATAATATGATGCAAGGCTCATGAAAGTCGATTTTACATAATACTGCCCCTTTAAACTAAGTAATGAGAAAAGAGACTGAATGCACCTCATGGGACTGAAGGTCACAAGATCAAGTAACAGAATTAGGATTTAGGCTGTGAAACATCTCATTTGTCTCAATAAGCGCCGTTCCATCTGGCTATGAGCCCTGGTTTACAGGTAAGTACTACAAGCTTGACACAATGTGTCTTTGTTTTAATTGGGTTTCTTATATTGAAGAAAGAAAGGAAGTCCTGCCTTAGTTGCTGTGTTTTGTTAGAGGTGGCTAACGCTGCAGATTGGCTGTCAGCCTCTGCAGCATAAACACCAGAGAACCTGAAATGGTTTTAGACCCTGGCAGCATTTTGTGTGTCTGGCGGAGGAGAGTGACCAAGCACGAACTATTTGGAAGCACAAGGAAAAACATACACAAATTATTGCTGACTTTAATATGCAGCTGATCACAGCCACATATTAAGCTGACCAGCACCAAACTGAATAAACAGACTATAATTTCAAACTAGTCAAACTTGAGCCATGTTCCTCCTCCCTAACAGAGCTTGTTTTGGAAATCTACACTGAATTATTCTATATCACAAATTATATTCCATAATAAACGGTCATGGTGAGTGCTAGGATGTAGAGTACATGTTGAAGTTTTAATGAAGAATGAAAAAGACAAAAATTTACCACTAACAACCATGGAGAACACAAGGAGCCAGAGCAGAACAAAAATAACAGGAACAAGGAATAAATGGGAAGAACTGGGACTAGACTGGATTAAACAGGATTAGATGGGAGGAACCAGCAAGGAGGAGCTGAGAATGAGTTGTATGTATATGCGGGAGTTTGATCAGTATACTGAACAGGAAACAGATGACTGATTTGAAACGGGTTGCAGGTGTGAGGGGAGAGAGCAGAAAGTGGCACAGGGGGCGAGGGAGAGTACACAGGAGACTAGGGATTAAATCTAACATGAAAGAATAACTAGACCTACGACACAATTAAAATAGAGCAACAAAGAATAATTAGGCACAAGAAACAAACGTATGAAAGTAGAATCACTAAGGAAGGACCGATTAAAGTACAATAGAAACATGGCTGAAACTAAGAAATAAAAAATGATCAAGAATGAAACAATGAAAATACCAAAACAACCAAAGATCCTAACATCATCACTAAGTCAACTCAGCCTCTACATTAACACTAATTAACAAAAAAATGAGTGTTGCACAGGGGCCCAAACTTTATGAGAACAAGATCTACGTTTTCTCTCATCAGCTGGCTGAAATCTACCTCATGACACCTCATGACACGAAGATATAAAACTTGTAATAAAAAATATATTGACTTATTTTATATGGGAATATATATCAGTTAAAGCAGAAATATTAAAGGGATAGAAAAACTAATCCAGTTTTTTCCTCAGTGAGATTCTGACACTGGGAGCAAGTTACTGGTTTCTCAGTCAGCAACTGGTTGCAAACCTGAGGCCAGCAGGTGTCAGTCAGTTATGGTAGATCTGACATTTGGTTTGATGATTTCAATATGACAAATTACAGACAGATGAGAGGAACCTCAGAGCTCTGTTAGGTTAAAGCTCATCTTCTGAAGTTGGGATATTTTTCATCCAACAGGTTCGAGAGGAATCATCTCAAACCAGATGTTGAACTGGAATTTATTTTGTGAATGTCAGCTCCTCATTTTGTAGGTTGAAAAAAGCTTTTCATTTTGAAACATCAATATTTCCACTAAATAAGAGACGAAAATCAATAGCACTTTTGATAGAGGAAAAGTAAAGTATCTATGTGTCTCTGTGCTCAAAGCAGGATGCCAGAGAGCACCAAAACTATTATTTTTTAAATATCAGACAACTAATTTAAGCTCACATAATTACCGCGGTAGCAGGAGCCATTTGTTTGTTAAATACTTCATGAAATATATTCGTCCAATTTGATGTTTGAATGACAAATACTTGCAAACGAACGAGGTAATTAGTCCAACTTTTGTCCTTTACGGAAAGTTCAGAAATTACAGTGGTTGCAGTGCGCCATGACACAGGTGAACACGAGTTAAACGACTCGAAAAGGTGACAAACTCAAAACCACTCCTACCTTTTTCACTCTCTTCTCTAAAGCGTTGCCGTGGCAACCGCCTGTTGATCCCCGCAAGTTGAGCAGAGATACGTTAAAATGTAACAGTGATTCTTGAGGATAGGGACAAAGCAGGTCCTATGGATAAAGCTCAAAATTTGAATAAAATATTATTTTTTCAAATATCTGACTAAACTAACTTGGGTCATGTGAGCACAACAATGTATATTTTCGAGGTATTTGCTGAATATTATTTTATTTTAAACATTGTAGTTGGTGGATGATGCCTGTAAAATCCCTTGTCCAGGAGCAGAACTCAATACATTATAATAGTTTAAAATAATTAAAGAAATACTAAAATTATATATTGTGACAATTAAGTATAAGTAGTCATATAAATAATTAT